AGAGAGAGAGAGAGAGAGAGAGAGAGAGAGAGAGAGAGAGAGAGAGAGAGCTCACCTGCGAGAAGGAGACGCTCGCCCCGACCCCAAAGGTTGCCATCGCCCAGCAGATGATCCCGCCCGTGATGACGTGCGTACGATTATATCGAGATGATAGGTGAGCGGCTACAGGTGAAAATAACGCTTGCACTAGCGCCCTAAGCAGGGTCAAGGTGGCAAGCGCAGTCGGCGACGCGTGAAACCTGATTTGAAGTTCATTGAACACTGCTGGAAGCATAGACTCGTCCCCTCTTTCCATGATTGCGGCCAGATTCACAAGGATTAACATCCGGAACATAGGATCGAAATACACCTTCAACGGTCGAAACGATTGTCCATCTTCCTCCTCCCTTCTGCATCTCTCAAACACCTCAGCGCCACACCCACAACACCTCCCTACTACTCTTCTCCCTCCTCCTCCTCCTCTTCCTCTTCCTATGACTACTCTTCCTACCTTCACTCTTCCATCTCCTAGATCCCTCTCCTCACCTCCTCCTCGTCCTCCCTCCATTCCTTTCGCACGTCCAAGGTCAGGTAGCATGGCCATCGCGATCCTCCCTGCCCCCTCCCCTCCCTTCTCTCTCTGACCCCTTCTTTCCTCGATAAGCGTCCCCTCAAGCAGCAGCCTCCAGATCAGCCGGTGAGAGTCCGGCCTAACAATTCGCTACGGATCACCCCCCTTTATATCCTCAGAAACATATATATATATATACATATACACATATATGCATATGTATATAACATATGTCGAATGTCATACATAACATATATACTTATGTATATATTATGTATATATTATGTATATATGCATATATTATGTATATAAATTGTGACAAGAATATCAGAGCGCAAATGCGAAAAAAAGAAAAAGAAAAAAAGAAAGAAAAACAGGAAAAAATGAATTCAGTTTTTTTATCGTCTTCCTTAGAACTCAGAAGGAAGGGAGGTGTGATCGGTGGGCCGCAAGGCGCGGGTGTGTGGGAAGCCCCCTGAGGATGATCGGAGCGCAACCGATCGAAACGCGTCGGGGAATGTGCGCGTGAGCTGAGATGAGTATGCGCGGCTATGTATGGAAGAACTATCGAAGCGTGTACGCAAGGCAGTTGGCCACTGTTTCCACTATTCCTTATAACTCCCCCTGTTCAGAACCTCTTGCGTATATATGTATATATGTATATAATATATGTATTTATATCCAAAGACTCACGAAAGTCAAATTAATCAGAACTCGTCTGAGTATGCAACAATCAAATCAATCAATCAAATCACCTGTGCTCACTCACTCGATCGATCAAACAATCATTCAAGACATCAAGCAACCAACCAATCAATCAATCAATTAATCAAATCAATCACTTAGTCAATCAAAGGCTCAATCAATCAGACAATTAATCCAGTCCTTTCGACGACACATCAATCCCTTTTCCGTATACAGTCCCCCGACTTCATTTTAACACTTTGCTCAGAGTCCTCGATCTGCTCATTACATCTTTGCTGCCGCTTAAAGGGGTGTCCCATCATTACCCCACTTTGAGCATCCCCCTCTCTTCCGCCCACTTTTCCCCCCACCCCACGCTGCCGGCAATACGTTGGTTTTTGCCTAATTGAACTTTAGGGGAGGGGACCGGGGGGAAAGGGGGGGGGGGGGGGGGGGGGGGGGGGGGGATCGTTGCAGCAAAAGCAAAATGCTCTGCAGACGAAAAACGATTGAATTCAGACGTAAAAGCAGCAGAAATTCAACTAAAAAAAAATGAATGTGATCATAACGACAAGGAAGTGCAGGTGGCAAGATGACGACAACGCCAAAAAGATGACAGAGGTCACGAGATCGAATCTGGGCGGAGAGAACCGGAAAAAGATAATTTATCAACGAGACTGCTAACTCCGATCTGCCTATCTGCGCGTCCTGCACGCGCTCCCCCACCTCCCTCAGCCCTCCCCTTCCCCCTGCGCCTTCTCTCGCTGTGCGCAATCACGTGCGCAGATTGACCTCTCGAATCTCGATCGACCGTTCCCAAAAAGAGCGAAGAAAAGTTGCTGAGGAAGGAGGGAGAAGGAGAAGGGAAGGGAGAAGAAGGAAGACCGTGGAGGAGACAGGAAATAGCGGAGGGGGGACAGAAGAGAGGGGATCCCGTCTTATATATCTCCCCCTCGTCCGCTTGCGACAAGTATCCCCCGCGCTTCTTGCACCACAAATGTAGTTCCGTGAGCATATGATAATAATCAATCAATCAATCAATCAATACGGCTATAACAATTACTCATTACCTCGTCACAGCGCTCCCCCCCCCCCCCGTGCCTGCAGCTCCTAGCTCAGAGGGTCGACTGCGCCGGTTAGCTTCGCGCGTTGACCACGCTGGTAACCAGTTGACCAAGCTGGGTCCAGGCTCGGTGGGGATCGCGCGACCCAGCCGGTTCTGCGCTTAACCAAACTGCGGTTGTAGATAACCCGTGCTGGTCTCGGTCTGCCCTTCTGTCTGCGTCCGCGTCGATCGAGCTAGCTCGAGGTTGACCTACCGGTAGGTTTCACCAGTGTTTGACCAGGGTTTGACCAGGCTGCTCCCTGCTACGCCAGACCTGTGGACGACCTTACCGCCGCGGATGCTTCCCAGCTGTTGACACAGCTGCGCCTATCAACCTTAGCAGCAGCAGATTATTTCGCTTCGCCTTGATTGCACCACCACCAGAGATTTGATCCAGTGCGACTTCCTCGAAACTTCCTCGAAACTTCCTCGAAACTTGTTTTCAAATTCAACTTCGCCAGTGGGGATCATCATTACACGTAGTTCCCTTTCCTGCTTGAGCAACGCAACGCGCAAAGTGTGTTGTATACTCAAAACCCCCTGCCGCTGATGGATTGGTCTCCCAGGCACGCTGGCCCACGCCGCTCCCGACCTTGCTTGGTACCATTGCTGCTGCCTTTTTTTTTTTTTTTTTTTCACCCCTCCCTCCTGTTCCACGAGGTTTCACGAGGTCCCACGAGGTCCTTTCGCTCTTCTACCCCTGTCCACCTTGTCGGTCCATGACCCACCCTGTCCCACGCTTCCACGCTGAGCCACCCAATGCCTTCACTATTCCAGCTTGTTAATCATCCATGATGAACCTCTGTTCCACACTCTTCCACCCGGCCTTTTCACTGTTCCACCCTGGTACACCTTGCACGTCCTCCTCACCCTGTTCCACACTCGTTTGGGTTCTTTGCTTTGCTCCGCCTTGTTCCTCCTGATTAGCTTGTCCCACCCTGGTACACCTTGCACGTCCTCACCCTGTTCCACCCTCGTTTGACTTCTTTACTTTGCTCCGCCTTGTTCCTCCTCCTGATTAGCTTGTTGTCCCACCCGCCTTGTTCACCACCATATTCCACTCCCCGTCTTGTTCCACCGTGTTCCACCCCGTTCCACACTTTGTTTTGTTTTGTTTTTTCCACCTTTTCTGGTTTTTCTTGGCGCCTTTCTCGCACGATTCAACAACAAGGGAGGGGGGGGATGAGGGGACGGGGGAAAGGGGGGAAGCGGGGGACCGAAGAACCCACCAACCACCCCGAGAGTTGGGAGTTGGGCTTTTCAACCCACCCTGCGTTACTTACTAGTAAGTTTACTCTTCCCAAGTTGACAACCTTCCTCCTGTGGAATCCTTTTGACCTGTCGAGGTGTGATCCGATTCTTTTCGTCGTTTAGAAGTAGTTCGGTCGCCCCCGAGGGCTGAACAGCCTGTCTGTGACTTTTCAATTTACTGTAATTAATTAATTTACTGTAATTAAAAAAATAAAAATGACTTTTCAATTTACTGTAATTAAAAAAATAAAAAAAGGTTCGTCGGCGAAGAGTGGACACCCTGAGCACTACTACCTCTTCTGCTGTACTGGAAGAAGAGAGGTTTCTCCCAAACCACAAAAATAGAAAAACAGGTGTCCCAAGATCAAGAAAATCGGTCGACCAGAGTAAGCAAGCGCCTGACAGCAAGAAAGACACGGACAGGTAGAGCGAGAGCGAGAGAGAGAGAGAGAGAGAGAGAGAGAGAGAGAGAGGATTGAATGGATTATGACGCTGCAAAAAGACCTAGGAATGGTTGAATGCTGAGGAAAAGACAAAACATTCATCAGCCAGAGAAAATGGAACGGGATCCCGATCCGCAATCGATCAATCAATCAATCAATCAATCAATCAATCAATCAATCAATCAATCGCTGGCCGCTGCTGTTGCAGCTATTCCCTGTTATTTCCAGATTCATAGCAGAGATATTAACGTGTTTTATTCGCAAAAAAACGTTTTTCGCAGTTCAGATCCGCACTGTGAATAACTGCTAACGAACTTTCGACGGCCTCGACACGTAAACTTCGGCGGCCGAAAGTTCAGGAGAACTTTCAGGAGAGCTTTCAGACGCCCGACATCTTACGACGTTATGGATCGGACACGTCAAAAGCCAATCATTGCCTCGCGATCGCCGGAGCCATCAAACTCCCCTCAACCCATTCACACGAGGGAAGGGCACCCCTGCAACAACAAAAACGCGGCAAAAAAAAAGCGCTATGTGCAGCATGACATCCTACTCTGCTCTCATCTAGTCAACGCAATGATTGGCCGTCAAATTTGCAATTGGAAAAAAAAAAGGAACCCATGACAGATCTCCATGCTCGGCACGAGAGTTAAACGCAATTCGAGAAATAGACCAAAAGGATTCATTTCCCAGAATCCCAGGTCATGTCAGATTCCAAAAGTCCAAAAGAAGAAAAAGAATAAGAAGAAGAAGAGGGAAGACTCGGAGGAAAGTCAAACGTAGTATGAGAGAGAGAGAGGAGGGGGCTATACCGTCTTCACCCGAATACAACGAACGGTTATCATAGCGGTGGTGCTATTCGGGGCAACTTCGAGTCTAGATACAGGGCAGAAGATAGGATAGGATGTCTGCAAAGCGCGAGGTGCGTCAGAAGAAGGCTGAGAGTCCGTCGGTCTGTGTGAACCACCTCCTCCTCCTGTTGCTTCCTATCCCTTGCTACCACGTCAATCTCCTCAGCCAGACAACACACAAAGTGAACCGCCTGCGCTTCATATCATCATATCCCGATCGACCACTTGCCCTCCTTGTCATCCTGGAAATTCCAAACCTCTCTCTCTCTCTCTCTCTCTCGGTCGCTCGATCTCTACGTGTGCGGGAAAGACAGGGAGAGAGAGAGACACACACAAAGCTGCATGCAGAATCCGATAAGCGCGATCTATTCATAAACACTGTAATCACTATCGCGCACGCTTACGCGTACTTCTCTCTCTCTTTCTCTCTCTCACTCACTCGCTCGCTCGCTCGCTCGCTCTCGCTCTCTTCTGTGTGTGTGGGTGCGAGTGTGGGACCGGGTAAGCGCGGTATCGTCACATAAACACTGCAGTAATCGACATCGCACAGACGAATTATACTTGCTGATGTATCGCTCGGGAAGGGGAAAAAAACAAAAAAAAGGGAAGTTGAAGGCAGTGGCTCCACTCCCGCTATCGAGAAGCTTGAGATGAAGGTGCAGAAGCATGCCAATGCCAATTTGTGTGCCATCCGACAGTGGTTGGCGTATAAAGCC